GGCGGCGGCGGCCTCTCCTGGCGCAGCCCGAGAGGAGTCCAGTAGGGGATCGACTGCAGAATTTATTTACCCCAGAGATGATTATTCTCGTCGAGGTGACGGAAAGAACGTGGAATGATCTACGAGCATTCTGCGAATTTCTCGCACATGCGACGAGAAAACGAATCTTGGGGGGAAATCAACACACTACGCATTTTTCGTGCACTCGACGAGAAAATCAATTCTGGGGTAAATCAGTCCTGTAGTCGATTCCCTACTCGCGAACACTCTGCGCGTTTTTCGTACACTCGACGAGAAAAACTATTTTTCACTGCACCGACCTTGCAGACGTGCTGCAGTGGATTTTCGCGTGGATTTCTGTCAATGCGAAGCCCCGAAACGGCGAGCGAAAAACGAAGTGAATTTCACGTGGATTTTTTAGTTTTCATTCCTGGCCAAAAAAATCCGCACGAAATCCTCTTCGAATTCCGGAACGACATTCTCCAGGACACTCTGGGCCCATCCTATCGTCTTCTGAATGATATCCGCTCTGGGATGTGGGCGCCATGAGAACATAAATTCTGGGGCAAATCAATTCCGTAGTCAATCCCCCGCTCGACGGCGAGAGGGCACGGCCCGGGGGTCCTGGGTGCGGGCCCCCCCGCGGGCGGCCTCGTGCAGCGGGGTCCGGCCGTGCACGCTGCGCGTGCCCTCTTGGGGGAGCTGTGCCTCTCCTCCTCCCCCCCTTCTGCACCTCCCTCCCTCCTCCTCACCTCCTCCTCCTCCTCCTCCTCCCCGTCCTCCTCCTCCCCGTCCTCCTCCTCCTCCTCCTCCTCCTCCTCCTCCTCCTCCTCCTTCTCTCCCTCCTCCTCCTCCTCCCCCTCCTTCTCATCCTCCTCCTCCTCTTCCCCTTTCCTCCTCCTCCTCCTCCTCCTCCCCCCTTCTGCCCTTCCCTGCTTCTCCCTCCCTCCTGGGGAGGAGGCGCCAGGAGGGGGAGAAGCAGGGAAGGGCAGAAGGGGGGAGGAGGAGGAGGAGGAGGAGGAAAGGGGAAGAGGAGGAGGAGGATGAGAAGGAGGGGGAGGAGGAGGAGGAGGGAGAGAAGGAGGAGGAGGAGGAGGAGGAGGAGGAGGAGGAGGAGGAGGACGGGGAGGAGGAGGACGGGGAGGAGGAGGAGGAGGAGGAGGTGAGGAGGAGGGAGGGAGGTGCAGAAGGGGGGGAGGAGGAGAGGCACAGCTCCCCCAAGAGGGCACGCGCAGCGTGCACGGCCGGACCCCGCTGCACGAGGCCGCCCGCGGGGGGGCCCGCACCCAGGACCCCCGGGCCGTGCCCTCTCGCCGTCGAGCGGGGGATTGACTACGGAATTGATTTGCCCCAGAATTTATGTTCTCATGGCGCCCACATCCCAGAGCGGATATCATTCAGAAGACGATAGGATGGGCCCAGAGTGTCCTGGAGAATGTCGTTCCGGAATTCGAAGAGGATTTCGTGCGGATTTTTTTGGCCAGGAATGAAAACTAAAAAATCCACGTGAAATTCACTTCGTTTTTCGCTCGCCGTTTCGGGGCTTCGCATTGACAGAAATCCACGCGAAAATCCACTGCAGCACGTCTGCAAGGTCGGTGCAGTGAAAAATAGTTTTTCTCGTCGAGTGTACGAAAAACGCGCAGAGTGTTCGCGAGTAGGGAATCGACTACAGGACTGATTTACCCCAGAATTGATTTTCTCGTCGAGTGCACGAAAAATGCGTAGTGTGTTGATTTCCCCCCAAGATTCGTTTTCTCGTCGCATGTGCGAGAAATTCGCAGAATGCTCGTAGATCATTCCACGTTCTTTCCGTCACCTCGACGAGAATAATCATCTCTGGGGTAAATAAATTCTGCAGTCGATCCCCTACTGGACTCCTCTCGGGCTGCGCCAGGAGAGGCCGCCGCCGCCGCCGCCCAAGGGTTCAGACCCAGACGTGGTCGCGTCGCGAACAGCAACAGCACCGGAGGTTTTTGGCCGTCTTGGGTTTCCTGGGGCCCTCACCGAGCCCCGGGACCGTCAGAAAACGGCACGGGATGAAGAACCGGCTCCAGGGCAGCTCCCAGGGACCCCGCACTGAAGAAAGCTGGCGCATGGCAGGGGAGGAGGAGCACGAAGTCATGGTAATGATACAGTCGGGATCCTTGGCCCCGCGTCTCTCGCCGCCGGTTCTGTTCCACCACGATGGGGCGCAACACGCTGATCAAGTCTCAGACCCCAGGCGTCGGCGTCCCGAGTCTTTCCCAGCCCCCCACCCCGCGGAGCGGAACGACACGTCATGATTCTCTCATTGCCCGAGGGGGTCTGGGTCACCACCCGCCCGTGGGCAGCTCTCCTTCCCACCACTCTGGCACGATCCGCTGCGCACGGGCGGCGTGCTGCCCCGGGCTGTGTCCGCCTTCACGCATGCGAGGCCAGCCGCGCACGGCGCCCCACGCCGGGGGGCCCCGGAGCCGAAGGAGGACCTCCCCACGGGTCACGGGAGAGCCCCGACGACGGTCGCAGGCTGCGGGCGGAGGGGTGCCGGCAATCCCGGCGGACGGGTGCCGGCAATACCCTGAGATCTTAGCGCGGTGCCATTTTTTCGTACCGGGCGCTTGTTCGCCCGGCTTCGGGACCCCTGGAGCCCGAGCTGGACCGATTTGGCTCGGAAAATGGCACAGAAAGATGGGGTTCTGGGCCTCTGGGCGTGATTTTTGAGATGTTGCAATTTTTCTGCAGCGTCGGGTCTCAGGGTTTGGCAGCACCCATCCGCCGGGACGGGCGTCCTGGAACAGATTCTTCTGTTGCCGAGCATGTAGGGCTGCGGTCGCTTGGGGAACGCTTGGGGAGGTTGGAGTCGTGTGTTATGATTCCGTTTGGAGCGGCCGGCGCAAAGCCAGCACTGTTGGAACCGTAATGCCATGTACATCGTAGATACCATCGCCATTTCCAGCATTGACACCACACCCCTTTTTGTACTTCCTTTTCGACCTCCGGAGTCGTGCCTCAGAGCGATACGAGCCCGTGTCCGAGCCCCTGCAGCGTGAGTGGAGGGGATCTATGCTCTGGGAGGTGCATCGACCTCCGGATCGCCCACTAATCGACGACGAGGGCCCGATGGCGCACTCCTCCCAGGAACGTGCGGATTCGCTAGCGGGGCCCCCCCTCAACGTTCCCCTTCAGTTTTCGGGCAATGGGGCCACGAGAAACTCATCCAATACAGGACGCAAAATGACACCCAAGGTAAGGGGTCGAAACCTCCGCGGGGGCGCAGATTGAGACAGGAACAATATGTCGGGAGTCTGCGAAGACTTCGGACGGCTCCCGAGGCCAGGGTGGGGAGGGGGAGGAGGAAGGGCAGGATGTTGCGATCGCATGATGTCTTCTGAGGGAGGCGAGTACGAGCGTCCGGTTCCTCGGGCACTGCCCTCCCAGCGCCCTCCCGACCTGCCCCACAGCGTGGCCACCACTTACTCAAGCCACGCACGCACAGTGATGATGTAAGACTCTTCCGGCACCCGCTCACTCTGACGCGAGCGTTGGCGATAAGTTCGGCTTAGGTCCATCATGGTTGGGATTCTGGGGCCAGCGTTTTGGGGAAACGCAACCATCGACTTCGGCAAGACCTGGGATGCCCAGAGAAGCCCGAAACCTTTTTGTTCCCCGCCCGTCCGAACACCGCCGATCTTGAATGTTCCCGCGCGCGCGCACCTCTGCCCGCCCCTTCCCTGGTCCACCTGCTCTCCCGCCTCGCCTGCAGGCAGCGGAAGCCGGCCACGTCGCCGTCGCCAGCGACCTCGTCCAGGGCACAGCCGGCTCTGTCTCGGCGGGGAAAGCCGTTCTTGGAAGCATTGAGCAGACGTCGACCAAGAACCAATCGACAGGTGCCCAAATTTTCAGCACCGCTGGATCGTAGGCGGGGTGGTGTCGTGGGTGGTCGCAGTTGGGCAAGTGCCCAAATTTTCAGCACCGCTGGCTCGGAGGCGGGGTGGTGTCGTTTGGGTTCTGGTCCAGACGTGCCCCCAGCTCGATCTGGGCTGCTGCTCCCGAGGTGCCGTCGTGCTCTGTGCCGTCGCGAGGGCCCCGCAGCCCTGGGGCAGGCTGTTCTGCGAGCGCCGGCCGTTCCCGGGGAGGCGCAGGCGAGGGTCAGGCCGAGGCGGAGGGGGAGGGAGGGCAGAGGAGGAAACGCTACCGATGACGCTACCCTTCCCTCGCTTCCCCTCTTTAGGCGTCCTGGGAGGCCCTCGTCGTATCCGTATGTGTTGTGGTTTCCCCAGAGACGGTGGACGAGGAAAGACGAAGGAGGGAGGAGGAGGAAGAGGAGGAGGAGGAGGAGGAGGAAGGAGGAGGAGGGGGAGGACGGAGGAACGGAGGCGGAGAAAAGAGGAGGCTGAGGACGGCGAGGAGATCGGATCATCTGCGCCCGAAGGGTCCGCGTGAAGGAGGCCACAGGCCGGCAGTGGTCGAGCGGCGTTTCTGGACTGCGCTCGTCTGATTGTCCCCGGGTCGGACGCAACGGGGGGCATCAGGAAAGTCGGCGGATGCGAAGTCCATACGGAGTACGTCCATACGGAGTGTCCGGTCTCCGTCCGGGCTCACTCCGCCTAGACTTGCACCAGCTATAGCCCAACATGAGAATAAGCGGTTCCGTTCCATTCGCTTCGGTTCGAGAAAGCTTGGTTCGGTCCGGTCTGGTTCGGTTTTGGAATTGGTTCAGGGCGGTTCCGGTTTAAGGACTGTTCCGGCTCAGCCAGTGCCAGTTCGGCTCCCAGTTCTTGAAGACGATGGTGGCGAAGGGAAGGAGGAAAGCCAAGGAGGCGGAGGAGGAGTTATTGATCATGAGGAGCAACAGCAGCCAGATAATCGAGAAGGAGGAGGAGGGGGGTGTCGGAAGAAGTTGGCGGGGACCGTCGGAAGCCCCCGCAGAAGTTAGTGGAGGCTTGCCTGTTTTACATTGCTGCGCATTGCTTCTCACTGCACCGCGTGAATGTTGCATGAATGTATTGTGAGGGGTGCCACCCACGGGCTCCCAAAGCCACCTCCCCCACCCCTTTGCGTCGAAGACAACCTTGCAGCATGCCCAATAGATAAAAACAAAGAAGTCCATTTTTCGGAGCCTGAGAAATCAATTCGCAATCTTTCGAAACCCGGACGCCCGATGCGAGCCCAAAGCAGCCCGTAACTCCCGAGAACTCGGACATAAATTCTCAAAGCTCCCGAAATTTGATCTTTGCTGGTCCCGCAAAGCAGGCCCCTGGACGTTCTGCTTCCAGGTCGCCCCAAGGAAAACTTAGTCGTACATGCTATTTTTGGGGGTGGTGCGCCGGAGCAGCTACAAGGAGCTATGCGGGAATTTCCGGGGCTACGGCTCCAGTTTCTCAATCTGAAGCCCTCTCAGCTCTCGAAGGAGCCATCCGGGAAACACCTATAGAAAGGACCTGGAGAGAGTTTCCGCGGAACTTGTGCAGTCGAAAACCCGTTGTCGGCATCCAGAGGCGTGGTCGGGAGCAAGAACAAGTCTTCAAGCCTCGAGCAGTGTTTTTTCGGTTTCCGGGGGCCTGGGAGGCAGCAGTCGGCCTCCAGAGAGGCGTAGGAGGCAGCATAAACAACTGCTCGGGCCTCGAAACATGCGTTTTTGTTTCCGAGGGTGCCAGATGGCAGGGGAAGGGGAAAGGAGGAGGAGGAGGAGGAGGAGGAGGAGGAGGAGGAGGAGAACGAGGAGGAGAACGAGGAGGAGAAGGAGGAGGAGAAGGAGTTGGAGAAGGAGTTGGAGAAGGAGGAGGAGGAGGAGGAGGAGGAGGAGAAACTGATGCGTTTTCGTTCCGGGGGGCCTGGGAGGCAGCAATCGGCCTCCAGAGGCCTGGGAGGCAGCAGAGCAAGCCCTCGAGCCTGGAAAAAAGCGCGTTCCGTTTCCGAGGGGGCCTGGGAGGCAGCAGTCGGCCTCCAGAGAGGTCTGGGGCAGCGGAGGCAGGATTCCGAGACTCGAAACATGGGTGTTTGGTTTCTAGAGGCCTGGGAGGCAGCAGTCGGCCTCCAGGGAGGCCTGGGAAGCAGCAGGAAGTGATCTCCCGAGCGTCGAGACATGCGTTGTCGGCTTCCGGGGGCCTGGGAGGCGGCAGCCGGCCTCCAGAGAGGGCTGGCAGGCAGCAGAGGCCTTGACTCGAGCCTCGAGGAATGCGGTGTCTGTTTCCGGGGGCCATGGGAGGCAGCAGTCGGCCTCCAGAGGCCTGGGAGGCAGCAGGAAGACTTGTTCGAGCCTCGAAACACGTTTTCGCTTCCGGGTTCCAGGGGGGCCTGCGAGGCAGCAGAAGCAATTTCCCGAGCCTCGCAACATGCGTTTTCGTTCCCGGGGGGCCAGATGGCAGGGAAGGAAGAGGAGGAGGAGGAGGAGGAAAAGGAAAAGGAGGAGGAGGAGGAAAAAAAGAGGAGGAGCAGCAGCAGCAGCAGCAGCAGCAGCAGCAGCAGCAGGAGGGGAAGGTGTTGTGCTTCCTCCTCCGCCTCCCCTTGCTGATGTGCTTCCTCCTCACGATTCCTCCTCCTCGTCATCTCTCTCCGTCTCCTGCTCTTCCCCTGGGGGGGGAAAGGAATGCGGTCGGGGCGTTCGTCAAATCATGCGCCCAGGAGGCTTCAGACCCTGGAAGGTTCCTTATCTGTCAGGCGGGGGAAAAACACACAGACACAACTAATCGTCGACTCCCAGGAAAATATGGGAAGTGGGGGGAAGACGAAAACCCAGAAAATATGTGGAAACATAGGGAATCCTGGGCATTGTGTGTAGTTATTTGTTTGTGTGTCCCTGGGCCCCTTTAATCTGATGGGGGTGGCGGCGATATCCACGGCCGAGCCATCAAGACACCACCGAAACACCACCATGACACCATCAGATAGTGTCCCAGTGGTGCTTCGATGGTGTCTCGATGGTGTCCTGGCGGTGTCCCAATAGGTTTAAGTCGGGGCTGTCCCTCTACAGGGGGAATAGTTAGAAATAGTTAAACCATAGTCTGGGGACGATTTTTTGACAATGTTTGACAAGTGTTGGAATCTGTTTAAACTATTTCATGTTTCGTCCAAAATCCGCCCGTAGGGAGACACGCCCGACCTAACAATAGGTGCTCCGAGTGGTGTTCCGATGGTGTCCTGATGGTGCCCCATGTGGTGTCTGCATGGTGCACTGGTGGTGTACCACTGGCGCCCCAGTGGTGTCCCGATCGTCGGAGCTTGGGGGGTGAGATCGCAGTGTAACGAAGGGTCCCCCACCGGGAAATCGGTTTCGGTGTCGTGTTCGTGCGGTCGTCGTCGTGGTTGTTCGTCGTGGTCGTCGTGGTTGCTCGGCTTGCGAGGCGAGAGGCCCCCAGGGTGGGCGGAGGGCGCCTGCAAGAGGAGGTGGAGGAGGTGGGCCGGGCCACGCGCGCGCAGCGCCCGCGCGTGCCGGCCGCCGCGGGGGGGACGGGCCAGACCCGCCCGCGGGGCCGTCGAAGCACGACGAAGCCCAGACATGCGACGTCCTGATTTCTTCCATGCGGGGCCCCTGGAAGTCCCGACCCTTTCCCCGGCACCAGTTTTTCCTCCTGGGTCGGTTTTCGTTGACGGCCCCGAGGCCCGGCGAGAGGGCACCCCGAGGCCGCCGTTGGCCACAAAGACACCTCCCGTGTCCTGATGTTTTTTTGTTTGCTTGCGACGCGGTCCTGTCTGGGGAAGCACGTCGTGGCAAGTCGGGCCTGTCCCTCTACAGGAGGAATATTCAAAAGTAGTCAGATAGTCTGGGGACGATTCTTTTTAGTATATTTGAACAAATTTTGGATATTGCCTGACTGTTGTTTTATATTTTTCGTCTAAAATCCAAAAAATCGGCCTGTAGGGGGGCCGTGCCCGACCTAGACGTCGTGGCTGCTCGCCGTGGTCGCCTGCGCCGTCGGCCCCGGCGCTGCAGCCTCGCTCTGAGCCGAGGTCCTGCGCGGCTTCCGCCCGGCGGACCTCGACCGCGCGGGGCGGGCGCCGCTGCACCTCGCCGCCGGGGCAGGCCGCCCCCCGCCTTGCGGCGCTCGGTATCGTTGAACCGATCCCCATCCCCATCCCCATCCTCCTCCTCCTCCTCTTCCTCCTCCTCCTCCTCCTCCTCCTCCTCCTCCTCCTCCTCCTCCTCCTCCTCCTCCTCCTCCTCCTGTCCAGCCCCCCAGCATCCTCACACCCCAGTTGGGGACACACACACACACACATCTCGAAAACCGACAGGAACGGCCTAAATCCCCATCTGGCCAATGGGGATTGGAGATAGGGGTCAATCGGCCATTGGGGCCCAGGCCACGTTCATGGAGATAGGGGTTTGTTAAACGATGCCCAGGAGCCCCTCGCGCCGTGAGAGGAACGCCGCGACGACGGCGACGACGACGGCGACGACGACGGCGACGGCGACGGCGACGACGACGGCGACGACGACGACCACGACCACCACGACGACGACGACGACGGCAGACGACGGGCCCCTATAGGGGGCCTCCCAGCCTCGGGACCGTCGAATATGTCGGCTGCAGGAGGAAGAGTCGGTCTCCGGGGAGGGGTCCCGCCCCGCCCGCCGCTTGCCGGCGCTCGCCGCCGCCGCCGCCGCTCGTCGGCGCTCGTCTTCCAGATATCCATCGACCAGAAAACAAGCGACACCACCCCACCTACGGCCCTCCATTTTGCGATACGGCCCGTCGGGGTCCATACCACGCAGAAGCCCACGCCAGATGTGCGGGCATACGCTGAGCCCCATGGGCCGTAGGCGGTGTGGTGTCGCTCGTCCTCTGGTCCCCTCTGGCGCCTGGAAGCAATCAAGGCGCAGCACCTTCGTCGTTTTCGGCCTCCTGGGGGCCCTCGCCTGGCCTCGGGAGGATGGCGAAGAAGAAAAGGCACCATAAACATAAACTTTTGGCGCTCCGCGCGAATTTCTTGGACCCGCGCTGGACCCGCGCCAGGGGCGGCGCCGGAGGCGCCGCAGGGGGCGCCCCCGGCGCGGATCCAAGAAATCCGCGCGGAGCGCCGAAAGTTTGTGTTTGTGGCGTCTTCTCTTCTTCTTTTTTATTCTTCTTATGTATGTATGTATTTATTTATTTATTTATTATTATTCTTCTTGTTCTTCAAAGGTCACAGATTGGCTCGGGGCGAGACGCTGGCCCCCTTCGGAAGTCAGCCACGCGCAGAGGGGGGTGGGGGGAGGGGGGAGGGCTTATTAGAAGCACCCCTGCTTCTTAGAAGGCGCGGGCCTTCTCCGTAGATGCAAGGCCGGAGCCTTCTAAGAAGCAGCCTGCTTCTAAGAAGCCCTCCTCCCTCCCACACCCCCTTGTGCGCGCCGCCTACCTTCGGAAGGGGTCCAGACCTCTGGCGCCCGCGCCATGCACAAAAACAAACGGGCGCGGCGTCAGAGGTCGTTTTGTTTTCATGTTGTGGGCCCGCCGCGCGCCGTCGCTCGCCGCCGCCGCTCGCCGTGGCTCGTCGTCGCTTGTCCGATCGTCCCCAGATTCAAGGGTTAAGTCGGGCATGTCCCTCTACAGGAGGAATATTCATAAATAGTCCAAACAGTTCTGTGGGGACGATTGTTCGAAAATGTGTGGCTATCTTTGAATATGTTGGGGGTAGTTAATGCAACAGTTTAAGATCAACAACTTTTAACTATATATATATATGTGAAGAGAGGAAAAAGTGCCGCCTGTAGGAGGACATGACCGTCCTAATTCAATGGGGGAGCACACATGACTCGAGTACGCCGGAACTCGGGTTAGCCGACGCTTTTTGACGAGCGCGTCCTGGAGTTTGACGGTCCAGTGTTCGTGGGGTGTCTGCAGCGGGAGCTCGCATCAGATTTCAGGCTGGGTCTCGTCATTCTCATGGCGGCCCCATCAGGCCAACCCGGGTCCCCCGTACCCGAGTCTTACGTCTCCCCGATGCAAGGGAGGGAGAACCACCCCGACCCCGATAACTGGCGTTTGCTAAGCGGCCCAGGGCGTTTACGAAATAGCCCAGCCCTGTTCGATTCTTTCCTCGGGGGCTTTTACTAAACGGCCTCGCTTGTCGGGGTGCTTCTCATGGGTGCTCCCTACCGATCTCCGACGGTGTGATTGTTTTCAGTGCGGGCGTCGCTCCTCGATTGCGGTAAAGTCGGGCGTGTCCCTCTACAGGAGGAAAATCCAAAAATAGGCAAAAATATAAGATGGGGGCGTTTTTTTTTACTAGTTCTAAGCATTTGGGAGTATTTTCTGGGTATGTCTTAATTTTCGTCCCAAATCCGCCTGTAGGGAGACACAGCCGACCTAAGATTGCGGCTGCGGGGGGCGGCGTTCTCAAGGCCCGGTGCCATGACACACGGATCCGGGGTAATAGAATTGCCCCCCCGGAAGTTGTCGGATGTAGAGTGTTTCTCCGAAGGGCTTATGCGACCCGTCCTCCTCCTCCTCCTCCTCCTCCTCCTCCTCCTCCTCCCTCCTCCTCCTCCCTCCTCCTCCTCCTCCCTCCTCCTCCTCCTTCCTCCTCCTTCCTCCTCCTCCTCCTCCTTCTCCTCCTCCTTCTCCTCCTCTTCCTCCTCCGTCTCCTCCTTCTCCTCATTCTCCTCCTCCTCCATCTCCTCCTCCCCCTCCCTCTCCTCCACCTCCTCCTCCTCCTCCCCCTCCTCCTACTCCTCGGGTCGCCTACGGCCCCCGGGTAAACCGTGCCGACGGATCTCGGGGGTCTTCGTCGTCATCGTTTTGGCCGACGTTCAGACTCCAGAGGCCCGCTTCGGGCTCCGGGGCCGTCATAAAGCTGTCCAGGGCGGGAAAGAATCCAGGGTGGACCTCGGGAGGGGTCTGGGGACCGATGTTGAGCGGATTTGGGTTGCCCGCTCGTCTTCACCGTCGTCGTCGACGATGCCGCCGTTGTCGTCGTCGCTCGTCGTTGTCGTCGCATCAAGGTTTTCGGGGCACCTTCGTTCTCTTGGGACCCCCCTGTCCTTCGAGGGCCCAGGATCTCGGAGGGAGGCTTCTGCGCGCTCTTGGCTGGTTTTCCCATACTTTTCCGTCTATTTGGGCATCCGGGTGTCCCGGGGGCCTGCCGAGGGGACCTCCACCGCCAGAGACCTTGAGGTCTCCAGAAATCATCGTCGTCGGCGGCGTCGACCTCGTTGTTATCGGATCGACTCTGTTGGTATTGGGTCCCAGGGATCGGCTGCATGACGAGTGACACTTCGCAGGAGTGACCTTTGGAGCGGGCCAACTGGGTTTTCCTCGATCGCTGCATGCGGTGCGCGACAGCGGCAGCTTGCGCGCCTGGGTTTGGCCCCCCTGCGCCCCCCAGAAGCCGCGCACCAAAGGTCCCTCGTGCCCCCAGGGCCACTCTTGCGTCACGCGCCGCGCGGTACGAGGCGCAGCCCTCGACCCCACGATCCGCGCCCAAGAGCGCGCGATACCTTTCCCGAGGCAGCGCCGTGCCGCGCGGGACTCTCCCAGTGGCGCCGTGCCGCGCGAAGTTCTTCCTTGCAGGCCTTCGCAGCAGAGGTCTTGACGACGGGCTTAGCCGCCTGCGCTTCCTGGCCGTAGCCTCTGGCTTCGCCGCGCTCCTGGGCTGTAGGCGGCTGCTCGAAGCTGCCCGCCGGGACCTGCACCCTCGCCGAGGGCCCGCTCGGAAGTGGAACGTGCCCCGGTCGAGAGAGGGCCCGAGGCCTGCCCCCCACGGGTCCTCCGAGCCGCGCCCGCGGCCGTCGGCGACATCAGGCGCTCCGGCAGGCTCAGGATGCGGCCGACGAGCTCACGCCCCGTGCCGCCGAGCCGCCTGCCCGAGGCCGCCTGCCCAGGCGGGCGCGGCCCGCAGGGCGGCCCACACCCGCCCGCGGCAGCAGGTCGTCCGCCCACCTCGCTGGGCGGCGGCGACTCCCCGATGCCGTCCACGGCGCCCCTCCCGCCGCGGCCGCACCAGCCGCCCCCCCTTCCCCGACCTCCTCCTCCGCGCCGGCGCCGTCCAACTGGCCCGCCGCGCCATCGCCAGGGCCCCCGGCCACGGCCGAGCTCTGGCGACGGCGCCGCCGCGCCGTCGGAGGGCCCACGCCGGCCAAAAGCTCAGGGCTGCCGGGCTCGCGGAGGGCCCAGCAGCTGCACGCGAGCGGCCACCGGCGCACCGCGCGAGGCCATCCAGCGCAGGAGGCTCGAGGTGGAGGAGGAGGAAGAGGAGGAGGCTCGAGGAGGAGGAGGAGGAGGAGGAGGAGGAGGAGGAGGATCAAAACGAGACAGGGAGCAGGAGGAGAATCGGGAAGAAGAGCGAGGAGGAAGATGAAGGGGAGGAGTGAGAAGAGCAGAGGGGAAGGAGCGGCAAGAGAGGAGAGATGAGGAGGAGGAGGAGGAGGAGGAGGAGCAGAGGAGGAGGAGGAGGAGGAGGAGCAGAGGAGGAGGAGGAGGAGGAGGAGGAGCGGAAGGACCACGACGACGACGACGACGACGACGACGACGACGACGACGAGCATCGGCGACGACGAGACGATGGGCGACCGACCACGACGATAACGACGGAGTCGACGGTCGCGGCGGTTGCGGCTCAACTCGCAGGCCGCCTCGTCGCGGTGAGGTACCTCCTGCGGGCCCGCTCGGACATCGACCTCCCGGACGCGGAGGGGGAGACGCCACTGCCGAAGGCCTCTCGCCCAGAGGATCGCAGGCTCGAGGGTCGCAGGCTCTCGAGGATCTCCTCGAGGCTCGGGCACCGAGATTCCGCCCCAGAAATTAGATACTATGCCCAAAAGCCTCGGGGTTTAGGCGAGGGTCCTGGTCGTGGGACTGGTCTGCAAAATTCTAGACGCTTCGCGTAGCCCCACCTGCAGGATTTGCCGTTGAGCGCCCGCACGGCATGTCCCTCCTCGTGTCGCGGGTCGCCGTTTTGTGATGGTTCCTGGCTTTGTCCACGGCGTGCTGTTCCTCGCGACGGTCTTCCACATCCGGGTCGTGGGTTTCTTGAATTACCTCGTGGTGCGGCACGTCGCCCTGGAGCTCCTCTTGGTGCCGGCGCTCTTCTGAGCGGCAGTGAGGTTCGCCTGCTGTCCGTCTCTCCTGCTCGTTCTTGTTATTTTTTTTCTTTTCGCCCTTCTCCTCCTGCGCGCTACTTTAAGCCGTTGCATCTGCGCTTCGTTCCTTTCCGCCGCCCGACTTGTCTCACCGCGGTCGCGATCAAAAAGTAGCCCCACCAGCCAATCCAAAAACGATGCCCAGGCGACTTGCGCTGATCATGGATGTGGGACCTCGCAGGGTCTTTTGCAGGCCGTTTGGGAGCCTTTTGGGGGCGTCTTTAGAGCCGCTCGGGTGCCCCTTGGGGCTATCTTGGGGCCCTCTTGGGGCCCCCTTGGGGTTCTCGGGGGCCTCGAAGGTTTTCTCAGGAACATGTTGGAGGACATCGATCAAAGAGGGCGTGTACTCAACTAGCGCCCCCTTCTCTGGAGCCCCCAAAGTCGCCTCATGGGGCCCTCCTGGGGCGCTCTTGCGGCGCTCTTGGGCGCTCTCGAGGCCATCTTCGGGCCATATTGGGTCTCTTTGGGGGCCCTCTCGGGCGCCCGTGGAGCAAGAGGCCCCGGGAGCCCATTGCAAGCGAAAGGACGAGAGGGCCAACACATCGAGTTCCGAAAGTTCTACGCAAAGTTTAGCCTGTTGGGGGCCTCCGTGGGGGGTTCCGTGGCCACTTGGAGCCATAGTGGGACCGTCATGGGACCTCTTGGAGGTATCTCGGAAACCGTCGTGGCCAATTTGGAACACATTGCAGAGCTTGTCGATGCTACATTCAACGGGATCGGGGGAGGGTCGCATTGGGCCTGGTGGGCTGCCGGTCGCCTGGGGGAGGGCGCGCTTATTATTCACACGGAGAAACAAACACATCCCCGAAGGGGAAGAAGGGGATCGGGAGAGGAAGCGCTCTAAATCACTCGCGCCCTACAGGGCTGGTGGGACTCCCCCCGCCGGGCGTGGTTGTTGTCTGCGGAACGTGGCCCCAGGCAGTGGAGTCTGCCTGGGGGCGGGGAGGGCGTGGGATACAAGAGAGTCTTGATCGACGAGAGAGGGGCGCGCAGGCGACGGCGGGAAATCGTGCGCAGCCTGTCGCGCCGCCCCTTCCGGCCCGTCGCGTTCCGGCGCGACGCGCAGCCCGGTCCCCGGGCATCCATGTCCCGAGTTCCTCTCCCGAGCATCCCGCCCGGAGTGGAGCGCTCCACGCCGCGAGCTCGCAGGGTACGCGGCGCGTCGCCGGGGTTCCGCCACCGAGGCGCGCGCTTCAAGCGTGCGCTCCTGGCACGTAAACGGGGGGCCTGGTGCCGAGCCGCCGTGGAGGCCGGGCGGCGTTCGCAGAGAGAGGCGGCTCGAGGGGCCGAGCCCGCCCAGAGAGGGCCAGGCTTCTGATGTTCCAACCTACTTTAGCGTTGACCACCAAAAAGGATTTCGAGCACCACGAAGGTACCGAAACTGCAAGGTTTTCGCGCGTCGGGCCCTGGGAGGCGATACTCGCTCGACACGGTTTCGATACTTTCCTGGGTGCTCGAACATATCTCTGGGATGTGGTCCTCAAGCACGATGGGGGCAACATCAGGCCAGCCGGCCCCTCGAGGAGGGGGGGCCGGCGTGCGTCCAGGCTCGAGGGGTTCGGGGCCCGGGGTCGGGCGTTCGAGCAGGGCGCGAGCCGACGGTGCTTTCGCGATGTCGTGGGGCGCGTTGTCGTGTTGGCTTCGCTCTGCTGCAGGGAGGCGGAAGGAGGGGAGTGGGATCAAGCAGTGGCGAAGCGTCCTGGCTCGCCTATAGGCCTATCAGAGAATGTTATAAGAACCTTGTGGGGTTTGCACGAAATGTGTTTAGCACATGTATGGTTGAGACTGTCCTGTTTTAACACATCGGTTTAATGTTCTGAGAACATTGTTTTGATATTAAAACATTTCCGGGTTCTGAAAACGTTTCGTGGTAGGTTTATTAAAATGCCGGGACGGTCGGTCCCTGCTCAAGGAGGGGGGATGGAACGGAGAGCATTTTGAAGCTCGAGCCTTGCTTTCAAGGGTTTTCGCGGTTCGGTCGGTTCGGTGTTGCGCTCGGTCGGTTCGGTCTGGTCGGTTGGTGTGGTGTTACCGCGTCGCGGCGCCCTTCTAGGTTGCCTGCGGCCTGTCGGCTTCGGTCGGTGTCGGTTCTGCTGTCGGTTCGGTCGATGTTCGATTTTGCTGTCGCCGGGTACTGCCTTGGGCTGTTGACGATCGAGGAGGTTTTGTCTGCCCATGCTGCGCCGCCTGGGGCCTTCTCGTCGCCACGGCTGGATCCGCCTCGAAGTTTTGGCCAGTGCGCGCCGCATGGGCAGGACCGAGGTTCGCGCATCGCAGACGGCCCCTCGTCGCCACGGCTGGCTGCGCCTCGAGGTACTTGCCCCGAGCGCACCCTCGGACGGGTCCGGGGGTCGTCCCCTGGCCCCCACAACCCAGTCCCCCAAAGCGTCCTGGAACATCGCGCCGGGAGGCTTCTGGCAGTTCTCGGCCCGCGGGGGCCCTTGGCGTGCAGCGGTGCCGCGACGAAGCGACTCCAGAGGAACAGCCCGTCCTGGAGAAGGGGTGGGGGCCTCTGGGGGCCCACGGACACAAGCAAAAGCACCAAAAAAGAGGCTGCGTCGGGCTTTGGCCTCGGCTCGGGGATATGGATCGGAGGTTGATAAACCTACCCTGACACGTCGATTAGCGAATTCTCCTCCTCCTCCTCCTCCTCCTCCTCCTCCTCCTCCTCCTCCTCCTCCTCCTCCTCGCCTCACCACCGCCGAACCGATCGTCCACCGCCGAACCGGTCTCCGACGGTATGATTGTTTTCAGTGCGGGCGTCGTTCCTCGACTGCGGCCGCGGGGAGGTGGGGGGGCGCTCTCGAGGCCCAGGGCCGTGACACGCGGATCCGGGGTGACAAAATGCTCCGGGGCCCGGGGCCGTGGCTGAAGGGTGGTTTACTGGTTTGTCCATCGCCGAGTGGAGGGCCGGGGGCCGGCCCACGAGGTTCGGGGGCAGCGTTTCTGTTGCGGGGCGGCCTCGGCCGAAGGAGGAAGCGGCGACGGAGTCCCCCGGAAGCGAGGCGCCGAGCCCAGGCGGCAAGGGTCAAGCCGGGCCTGTCCCTCTACGGGAGGAATATTCAAAATAGTCAAAAATAGTTTGCGGACGATCTTTTCACTAGTTTCGATTATCCTTGACATGTTTTACATATGTTGTATTATCTGTCGTCCAAAATCCGCTTGTGAGAGGACATGCCCGACCTGAGGCAAGGGCGGCGAACCAGAGGGAAGCGCGGGGGGCGGAGATGCCGCCGCCAGAGGCCTCCTTCCTCGGCTGCGGGGCGGGGGGCCGAGGGGTCGCGTGGTTTTGTGTTTCGGCTTCCCCGGGCCCTGCGTGCGGGAGGAGGAAGAGGGCAGGGAGGAGTGGAGGCAGTTCTGGGAGATGCGGGCAGGGCTTTGAGGAAGGGCTCCTCCTCCTCCTCCGCCTCCTTCTCTCCCTCCTCATCCTCTTCCTCGTCCCTCGTCATCATCATGTTCATCATCTTCATCCTCATCAGCAGCATCGTCAGCATCACATCAGCATCATATCAGCATCATCATCACAACCATCATTATCATCAGCATCATCATCAGAATCATCATCATCATCAACCATCATCATCAGCATCATCACAACCATCAGCATCATCACCATCATCATCGTCATCATCGTCATAATCTTCGCCCTCTTTGTCTCCTCATCCTCACCCTCATCCTTATGTCGCCCCCCTCGCCAATGCCCAGACTCGCGCCCGCAGCCGTGTCTGGCTCCCTCGTCTGGACAGCGCGCCGGGCTCACTCGTCGCCCCTGGGGCGGCACCGTTCTCGAGGCCCCCCTCCCGCACCTCCAGGGCCGCCTACGATCCGATTCGATCCGCAATTCGACTCGCCGGTTGGAGCCGCGATTCCGATTGGATCGGCCTCGGTTCAATGCACCGGCATCGGCTGGGGCCCTCGGGAGCCGGGCGCGGCGGTCCGATTTCGAGTCGATTCGGGACGATCCGTTGGCGATCCGATCCGTTCCCGATGCGGTCCAGGTTCGCGGCTCGATCGAGCTCAGATTTGCCTCCTTGTCGGCTCAGGGGAAAGGATCGCGCTGTTGCTCGCATTTACTGCGTCCCCAGGCCCATCGCATGGTGACACAAGCTACGGCGGAAGCATTTCTGTTTTTCTAAACCCCAGGGCGGGGGTTTTCCCCGGGTCTCAGGGCCGTCAACAAAACGACTCAGGTTGACAAGCAACCCTTGAATGCTGTTCTCGCTCTGCGGGGCCCTTGCTGGGGCATCCGGAGGTCTTCCGGGGGGCTTCTGGGGGATCCCCGGAGACCTCCAGAGGCTTCTGACCTCCAGAGCCCCAGACCTCCAGCGAACACACAACATAATCAAGGCGGCCAGTTTTTCAATACCCTGGGCCCTTGGTGACTTGCGGTGGGCTCGGCGCAGACCCCCAGGGCCACAAAAAGAGGTTCGGAGTGAACTGTAAGTGCAACTGGAGGGGGTCAAGAGCTCAAGCGGCCAGCGGCTCTGAATAGGTCGGGTGGTCCGAGGTCGGGGCCTTGCAGTCCGCACCAGGCGCCATGGACGAGGAGTACGACGTCATCGTCTGCGGCACGGGGCTCAAGGAGTGCATCCTCAGCGGCCTGCTGTCGGTGAACGGCAAGAAGGTCTTGCACCTCGACCGGAACAGCTACTACGGGGGCGAGTGCGCCTCCCTGGACCTCCGACATGGTGTTTCTGTTCAATCCGTCTTAGCTTTTGCCGAATCCCCTGCACCAGGAGCTGTTTTCGGCCCCAGGGGCCATCAGAACAGAACCTTGGGTGAAGAGCCGGCCCCCTTGGAAGGGACGAGAGTTCGTGGTCCCCACGGAGTGAAGAAATCACCGCGTTGGAGGTCCGGGCATCCCTCAACATCACCAACCTGTGGGAGAAATTCCGGCCCGGCACGACTCCGCCGAAGGAGCTGGGTGCGAATCGCGACTGGAACGTGGACCTCATCCCGAAATTCATCATGGCCTCCGGCGAGCTGGTCAAGATCCTCCTGAAGACGAAGGTGTCCAGGTACCTCGAGTGGAAGTCATGCGAGAGGAGCTACGTGTACCAGCCGCAGGAGGCAGGCTTCTTCGGCGGAGCCAAATATCTAGATGCGCCGTCGCGAGGGTCCGCCGCGGCGCTTGTTCGGTTGTGTGGGGTCGCGGGGTGAGCACGTGGTCGTCTTCCGTCGTTTAAGAAGACCTGTTAGGCACAGCGTGGACCCCAAACAGTGCACACTGGGGGTGAAAGCGATCTGGTGTAAGCTGCGTGGTGAATGCTATATCGTGCAAGCTAGGTGGAGTGAGCCAAGGAGGAAGTGAAAGCTACGCGGCGCACGCTGTGTGGTGCAAGCCGTGTCGTGTAAGCTCGGCGGTGTGATTTGGTGGAGACAGCTATGGGGTATATTCACTATAGGATACAAGCGATGCTGTGCAACACATGCGGTGCAAGCAAGCCATGTGGTGTAAACCATGCGGTGCAAGCTATGTGGCGAAAGCGATGTCGTGTACGCTCACAGCACGGGGCGCCCACGAGGCGGCACGGGCGGCAACGTGGCGCAACCTCGGCCGAACTCCCCCGCGTGGGCCTCCAACGAGGCGGCACGGGCCGCAACGTTCAAGCAGTGGCGAAGCGTCCTGGCGTGCCTATGGGCCTACCACACAGTGTTCTAAGAACCTTTTGTGGTCTGCACGAAATGTTCCTAGAACATTTCTGGCCCGGGCTGTCTTGTTTTAACACATCGAGTTCATGTTCTAGTCTCTCTTATTCGAATATTTTCGGGTTCTAAGAAGATTTCGAGGTAGGCCTATAGAAATGCCCGGACGGTCGGTCCCTGCTCAAAGCGTGACGAGCCCTTGGAATGCCCAACCGACTACCCAAGTAAGACACGGCGCGCTCCGGAAGGGGCCTCGCTTTCGACAGGACGGGGCTACGATTCAGTCGGGCGTGTCCTACAGGAGGAATATTCAAAAATAATCATAAAATAGTCGGGGGATGTTTTTTTGACTATTTCAGACTATTTGGGAATATTCTTTGGGTGTTTTTTATTTTTCGTCCCAAATCCGCCTGTAGGGGGACATGCCCGACCTAAGGCTAGGGCGAGGATAAATCTGTCCCGGAGCGGTCCAGAACGCTCTCAGAGCGTTCGGGAACGCTCGGAGAAGTCCGCGTCGCCCGAGACATCCTCCAGAGCCGCCGGATCTCAGAGATTCTCAATTCCCAGACCCCCGACGCCATGACTTTTCACTACGTCGACCCCTGGAAGTCCCGACCCTTTCCCCAGGACCGGTTTTTCGTCCTGAGTCTTGTTTTGACGGTCTCAGGGCCCGACGAGGGCCCCCCGGGGCCGAAAATAGCCAAAAACCTCCCGTCCTGATATTTTTACGACGCGATCTTCATCGGATCGCAGGCCTAGATGTTGACACCAACACCAATTTTGGCGGGTGGTCCGATCTCGGTGATGGTGATAATATTATGGCTTCCAAGGTGGCCGAAATATTACCACCAACACCGAAATCTAGGATCATCTTCCCCTGGTGGAGGCAGCCCCCTGTGTTGGTGCTGGTGCTGGTGCCCATTTCCGGGCCTCTGGTGTCAGCCTCGTCCTGGCGTCGTCGCTTCCGAGGGCCGGAGGAGCTGCCACCCCCTCCTCGCCGGAAGGCCGGCGGCCCCGCCGCGCGCCGCGCCCGCGTCGGGGGGCCTTGCTTCGGACGGAGCCGGGAGTGAGTCGGGCAGGTCCCTCTGCAGGAGGAAGACTTCAGCATCTTGTTCTTTACATGCATGAAAAGCGGGACGATGCTTCGACTATGTTTGACTAGTTCTGTGCATTGACACCAACTCCAAGACAGGGGTGTACCTCCACAGGGGCGTGGTCCTGGATTTTGGTGCTGGTGGTAATCTTTCAACTGCCTAAGAAGCCCGAATCTCACCACCATCACCGAAATCAGGATCATCTTCCCTCAATGAATTCACACCACCGATGCTGGTGTTAGTGCCAATCTCCACGCCTCTGAAAGATTCTCGATTCATCCTCACCCGAATTCATTATCGTCCTGGCTTCGTCTTACTAAGTATCTTCGAATGCCGTATCTGGGATGTGCCAGTATCGGTCGGTTTTCCCACTGGGCGGAAGTTGGCGGAAGTAACATATGTGCATCAAAGAAATGGGAAGGTTTGTGGCTTCAAGGTTTCCAGAGTCGACGATTTGGTTTAGGAAGACGCGTGTTCGTTGGGTACATCATTTAGGCCGCACGGGCTTTGAAACGTGGCCATTCAAACGGCCCCGCGGGTCCCCACAAGTCGTTGGGGGCTCGTCGGGAGCTATGGGTGCATCCTGGAGGGCCATGGTGCGTTCCAGAAGAGGTCTTGAAGGATTTGAGAGGCTTTCTGAGGACTTGGTGCAGTCTTGAGTCAATACTTGTCCACCGTTGGCACGTCGTGCCGCAAGTTTGGACCATCAGGCTGTTTCAGGGCCTCCTTGGATGTGTTTAAAGTCGATTCGAGGCTGCGTTGGGCCATCTTGGAGCTCCCTCGTGGCGGCGCTGGGCTCAGAAGAGCCGGCAGGTCGGAACATGTTGAGAAAGACAGGTGAGCGAGGCAAGAAAACGAGGTCGTCTTCGCCGACACTGGCGCGCAAGCTGCCCGCATAAGGCCGCGCGAAAGTGCCCTCGTCTCCAGTGCAACGTGCCGCGCTGGCGTCCCGCGTAAGCCGCCGCGTAAGGTCGCTATGCCATCTCGCGTAAGACCCGGTTTTACCGGAACGAAGGATGACACTAACATAACAACTCGGAGGTCCGTGCGGATTTCTCGGATCGGCGCTGGGACCCCCCGGCGGCGCCTCCGGCGCCGCCCCTGGCGCGCTTCGCGTTTTTTTTTTGTTCCCCTCGATAAGACCTGTTGTTGATCGTCGCCCAGGTGAAAGAGCGTCGAGCGGAGTCTGGACGGCGTTTTTTTGGGACGGGGGCCCCACGAGCTCACGGCGCGGGGCCTCTCTGAAGTTTTCTCGGAGGCCTCCCCGGACAAGGACCGGGCCCGGCCAAGCCGAGCTCGGCCAGACGAGACCTGGCAGGAGACAGGAAAAGCACCTGGGGGATGCAGGCAGCAGAAGCATGAGGAGGAGGAGGAGGAGAAGGATAGCGACAGGAGAAGGAGGAGGAAGAGGAGGGGCCGAGTTGCGACTGGGCCGAGTCCAGCCTGGCCGAGCCGCGCTGCTGCCCAGGGGCATCCTGGAGGACCCCAGGGAGGCGGAGGTCGGAGGAGAACAAGGCACCGATGCCGCTACCCTTCGCCCGCTGTCCCCTTTCTCGGCCTCCTGTGAGGCCCTCGTCGCCACAGCTGGATTCGCCTCGAACTCCTGGTCAGAACGCTGCCCGGGAGAGGTCCAGGGAGTAGCGGCATCAGTAGCCTTTGGTTTGCCCAGGAGGGCTGCTCGGAGACCCCTCGTGGCGCGCCGCCTGGGGTCCCCTGGGGTGGCCCTCGCTCGGAGTACCAGGGGGGTCGGGAGGCCTCCTGGGAGGGGCCACGAACGAGTGGTCGGCAGCAGGCTTCTTAGAAGCACCCCTGGTTCTGAGAAGGCGCGGGCCTTGTCTGTAGATGTACGGCCCGCGCCTTCTAAGAAGCAGGCGTGCTTCTAAGAAGCCTTTCCCCCTCCCCCCACCCCCCTCGGCGCACCGCCAAATGAAGGGAAGGACTCCCCGAGGAACGGGATTTCCCAGAGGGTGTTCCCCGCTGTCGGGCTCCTGGGGCCCTCCCCCTCGACGGGGCCCAGGGCCGTCAAACGGCGGTTCGGGATAAGGAGGAGGAGGAGGAGGAGGAGGAGGATGAGGAGGAGGAGGAGGGGGAGGAGGACGAGGAGGAAGAGGAGGAGGAGGAGGAGGAGAAGGAGGAGGAGGAGGAGGAAGGAGGGAGGAGGACAAGGAGGAGGAGGAGGAGGAGGAGCAGGAGGAGGAGTAGGAGCAGGAGGAGGAGGAGGAGGAGGAGGAGGAGCAGGGGCAGGAGCAGGAGCAGGAGCAGAAGCAGGGGTTCAGGACCCGCCTCCGCCAGGACCCCGTTTGCCCGCGTGCCACGCGCAAAGAAGCGCACAGCTTTGTCGCGGGACGGCCACCTCCCGAAGCACACACTCCTCCTCCTCCTCCTCCTCCTCCTCCCTCCTCCTCCTCCTCCTCCTTTTCCTCCTCCTCCTCCTCCTCCTCCTCCTCCTCTTCCTTTTCCTCTTCCTTCCTTCTCCTCCTCCTCCTCCTCCTCTCAAGCAATTGGGCTCGAGAGGTTTGCAGGAGAGCAGATCCATCGGGCCCACTGTTGCGCGCGCACCGCGCGTCCGCACATGCCCAGCGCGCATGTCCCAGGCGCGCTCGCGGCTTGAGGGGCGCACCATCTGGTGTGGCAGAAGTCGCAGCAGAACCACGGCGGCTACTACGGCATCATGGTTGGACAACGCCCGCCCTGGAAGCAAGGAGGTCGGTCTGCAAGCAGGGCACGATCGCAGTCGAGGTCGAAAAAAGACTACCAGGGCGGGACGAGGAGGAAGCTTGTGGTATGCAGTATGTGCACTCCTTCTGGCAGCAGCTGGATCTTCGGTAGCCGCATGTATGACAAGCCAAAGTGCACAAAGTGTGGAACAGCATGGGCAGACTCTCAGACAGGACAAGTTCCACTTGACCCGCAGACGCAGGCCCTGGTCGCCCTCCTCGCAAACCAGCCCAAAGAAGCAAAAGAAGCCAACAACAAAGAGCGGATGGAGCTGCTGGAGCAAGCTTGTCCACAGTTACGAGCTCTAGACCCAGTACCAGTCCCAGAGCCAAAGCCTTTCGAGGAGTTGGAAGCTGCGGCGTAGGAGCTCCGCATGGTCACGACGGCGGGCGAGAAGCTGCGCAACCGACCCCAGCACAATGCAGAAGAGCAAAAAGACATCCTCGACACGCTGGCAAACAACAAGATGGCAGAAAAAGAAGCTCAGCTGAAGGTGGACCTGTGTCGCGAGAAGGCCCCAGGACAGCCTCCACCAATTTCGGCCACCGTTGGTGCAGCAGTTACTCCAGAGCGCAGTCCAGAAGAATTGGCTTTCCTGGGAGATGCAGAAAAGAAGGAGTACGAAGCAGCGAAAGAGGCAGCAAC